ATCATAGTATTCACATTTAGTGGAGCAACATTTGTCATTCACATAATCAAAGTGGAGAATAGACAGTGTTTCGGCCTAAAAATTAATTAATATCGTTTTTACTGGTGGTCCAAACATAGATAGACTGTATATAAATGTGAACCCTCTTGCTCATTGCATCCCATTAGGACGTGTTCATGGAGTTTACTCGGTCTGGTTCCCATTGAAATTGGCTCCAGCTGGCTTATGTTCAAATCAGCTTCTTCCGCATACAGCAAACACTTTGGTGATGTCGCACTCAGTCAGCCCACACCAAATATATGGTCTATGGGCCCAACACGTTGCACATCAATAGTATACAGTGCCTTGCGAAAGTATTCGGCCCCTTGAACCTTTCAACATTTCGCCACATTTCAGGCTTCAAACTAGGCCTGTCACGATAACAAATTTTGCTGGACGATTAATTGTCTCAGAAATTATTGCGATAAGCGATTATATTGTCCTTCTGAGATCATTTGCATCGATTACAATGATAATGCAGGTACACCTTTTCAAAGAGAAATAAACTTTTATTTTTAACGAATATTTAACGCTAGAACACAATAAATTAACAAACAACCAAAAACAATTAAGAAAATAGACTCAGTCTCTTAACAAAAAATGACCAGGAATAAAACTGCCAGGACCTTTGTAAAGAAAATATGAAACAGATGCCTCAAATGTCAATAATTTCTCAGACTTTATGGCAGATTACGAGAAAGAAATACCAACATGTTGACTTTGTGTGGCTTAAGACACACCAGGCGAATGACAAGTGACTGACATGTGGGTTCACCAATGGGGCGTACAGAAGTCCTGCTGCGGTAGCGCCCACCGGAAGTAGCGGGGCGGGCTTTGATGCTAACAGCTAAGCTAGCGGGTTTTTTGTGTAAAGTTCTACTCCAAGAATGCAAGTCTGCTTGCCTGGCCTGCCAAACGATATGCTTTTTCAAAGACATATAGTCTGGGAACGAGCTTGATCTCAGCGAATTCCCGGTGGGCGTGGTTGACAGACTGCATCAACCAATTAGATGCATACAGAATATGACGCAGCAACTAGCGGCACCCAAGCCGTTTCAGTAAACACAAAACAAGGGATGGCGGCATGTCAGCTAGTGCAAATGTAAACGACTGCTGTCAATTTTGTAACAAAAACTTAAAGATACGAGGAGTTATTAGCAACTCAAAGGTGAAAGGAAGTCCCGCCTCTCGGTGCGTGATTGGACCGATGTGGGTAAAATCGTGAAATGATAGGCTAGGAAGAGGTGTCCAGACGGTTCTTCTTTTGAACAGAAAGGAGGAGTGTCTGGCAGGCCAGGCAACAAGTCTGCAGCATCTCTGTGTTCAGAGACCTTCTAGAGACTTTATATAACAGCAGTATGTGTTCACGGAGGTGCGCCATAAGTTTATTTTATTGGTATGGTACGGTACTTCTGCATCGGCGAACACGCTAACGCTAGCTGCGCTAGTATAGTCACTAATCAAGCCTGAATGAGAACTCAGCTGCCGGCATATGTTCACAACTACTGTGTCCCCCATTGTCAATCCTGGTTAAGTCCTGGTTTAGGTCCTGTTTTGGCTGTATTTTGTATTTTTGAGTAATTTCTGTCTGCTTGCTAGACCGCTAATGTTCCCGTGACCACTTTGCGGCTCTCTGACGAGAGAGACGGGGGAAACAAACAAGCATGCAAATGGGATTTATCGCGGCCAGAAAAGTTATTGAGCAAATTTTATTTATCGTGCGATTAATTGATTTATTGACTATCGCGACAGGCCTACTTCAAACATAAAGATATAAAATTTTAATTTTTTGTCATGAATCAACAACAAGTGGGACACAATCGTGAAGTGGAACGAACTTTATTGGATAATTTAAACTTTTTTAACAAATAAAAAACTGAAAAGTGGGGCGTGCAATATTATTCGGCCCCTTTACTTTCAGTGCAGCAAACTCACTCCAGAAGTTCAGTGAGGATCTTTGAATGATCCAATGTTGTCCTAAATGACTGATGATGATAAATAGAATGCACCTGTGTGTAATCAAGTCTCCGTATAAATGCACCTGCTCTTTGATAGTCTCAGGGTTATGTCTAAAGCGCAGAGAGAACCACGAAGACAAAGGAACACACCAGGCAGGTCCGAGATACTGTTGTGGAGAAGTTTAAAGCCGGATTTGGATACAAAAAGATTTCCCAAGCTTTAAACATCTCAAGGAGCATTGTGCAAGCAATTATATTGAAATGGAAGGCGTATCAGACCACTGCAAATCTACCAAGACCTGGCCGTACCTCCAAACTTTCATCTCAAACAAGGAGAAGACTGATCAGAGATGCAGCCAAGAGGCCCATGATCACTCTGGATGAACTGCAGATAACTACAGCTGAGGTGGGAGTGTCTGTCCATAGGACAACAATCAGTCGTGCACTGCACAAATCTGGCCTTTATGGAAAAGTGGCAAGAAGAAAGCCATTTCTCAAAGATATCCATAAAAAGTCTTGTTTAAAGTTTGCCACAAGCCACCTGAGAGACACACCAAACATGTGGAAGAAGGTGCTCTGGTCAGATGAAAACAAAATCGAACTTTTTGGCCACAATGCAAAACGATATGTTTGGCGTAAAAGCAACACAGCTCATCACCCTGAACACACCATCCCCACTGTCAAACATGGTGGTGGCAGCATCATGGTTTGGGCCTGCTTTTCTTCACCAGGGACAGGGAAGATGGCTAAAATTGATGGGAAGATGGATGGAGCCAAATACAGGACCATTCTGGAAGAAAACCTGTTGGAGTCTGCAAAAGACCTGAGACTGGGACGGAGATTTATCTTCCAACAGGACAATGATCCAAAACATAAAGCCAAATCTACAATGGAATGGTTCACAAATAGACGTATCCAGGTGTTAGAATGGCCAAGTCAAAGTCCAGACCTGAATCCAATCGAGAATCTGTGGAAAGAGCTGAAGACTGCTGTTCACAAACGCTCTCCATCCAACCTCACTGAGCTCGAGCTGTTTTGCAAGGAAGAATGGGAAAGAATTCCAGTCTCTTGATGTGCAAAACTGATAGAGACATACCCCAAGCGACTTGCAGCTGTAATTGCAGCAAAAGGTGGCGCTACAAAGTATTAGCGCAAGGGGGCCGAATAATATTGCACGCCCCACTTTTCAGTTTTTTATTTGTTAAAAAAGTTTAAATTATCCAATACATTTTGTTCCACTTCACGATTGTGTCCCACTTGTTGTTGATTCTTGACAAAAATTTAATTTTTATATCTTTATGTTTGAAGCCTGAAATGTGGCGAAATGTTTAAAGGTTCAAGGGGGCCAAATACTTTCGCAAGGCACTGTAACTTATTTATACTAAGCTGCTTATATCTATTTTTTACCCACAATGTGAATCCATTTTGTTATACATTATAAGAAAATAAAGGATTTTTATACCCTGCCCTATTATTAGTTGATAGTGACTTTGGGTCCATACTAGTGTCAAAATTGTGTAATGTCTGGATTATGGTCTTTGTAGATACCACATTGTACGGTGAAGCTAAGGACAACGTTTTGAGTCCAGATGGTGCCATTGTACGTGTTGAAATGCCCTGACAAAGTTTTGCACATGACGTCACTGTGAAACTGATAGTGTTTGCCCTCTAGGAGAAAGTAATTTCTGTGAACTGGACGGTTATGCAAGACTGAACTGTGAAATACTAATGGGGGAGACATATTATGCAAAATTGACTTAGCGTTTAGCTGTACAACATTACCTTACAACACCAAAAGTTGTTTTAAAGCTGCACTAACTGACTTTATTTTTGTATTCATTGCAAAGATTCAATCCATATCCATGGGATATACGTCCTTTTGAAGAAAAAGTAGCGCAGATTTGTGCTGGCGTGTCATCTTTAGATCGAGTTTTTGTGAAACAAGGAAGAGAATGTGTTTCGGGTCCAGATTGTGACCAATCACAGCGGACCACTGGCCCCCACTTTCTTGAGAAAAGCTACAGGTCTCTTGTTAGCACAGACAGCTCAGGTAAACAAGCGGCAGAGGCTAACCTGAAGCTTTCCGTGTCTTTGTTACCGGTTACTGCTTACTCAGCGAAACAGCCACCCAAAAGAAAGTCTCGTCCTCTCCGCGCTTCCCGGTTCTATCATTCTATGGTCACGCCATCCACGTTCAAATGTGCATTCATTATGTGAGACGTGAGCTCCATATACAATTAGCTAGCATGTGAGCGCAGGCTGAGGGGGGGGGGGGGGGGGGGGGGGGCGAGGCGAGCAAAAAGAGCGTGCTCACCGCTCACATCTGAACATTTCTCAAAGTCAGTTAGTGCAGCTTTAACATCTAACCACGCTAATGCCCCGTTTATACAGAGGTGCTGCGCAGACGTTGCCAAGCTATTAACAGAAACAACCAGGCTCCTTATGCAAATTTCACAGCGTTCATACAAGGATCAAAAATGATGTAGTCTTAGCGCCCGGACTGTAGTGGGCAGAGGAACTTTACAACAGGACACATGCGAGCCCCAACTATAGCGTTTTACTGCCGCATTGTCTCCGTATAAACGGGGCCTAAGTCTATCTTAACTTTTCACCAGGAACTTATGGGACGAACATGTAACTCTGCTTCCCCTTCTCAGTTCTAGTATTATGTAATTGCACCACTATGTGTTCAATAGTTTTGGTATTTACTTTAAGTGAAATTACGTTTTGTACAATTGCATGGATGTGTTTGTAGCCGGTAATTTTCAAATTCAAGATACAAAATTAATATCCTCCCTCTGATGGTAGCATAGGCAGTTGCATATGGAAAGTATGTTTTACCCTTGATTTCACCATGTATTTTCAAATTAAGATATTATTTCACATTCTAATACATAGAATGAAAAGGTAAATGGTCTATCATTTTGAGTGGCCAAATATAAAGCTAAATATGTCTTTCTACTTCCTTTTTGGAGAACCACACCACAATAAGTAAAGGCTTACCACAGCTCCAGTCCATCCTCTAATAGGTACACATGAGGCGGCTGGGACACGTCTGTGCTCAGCTGAATGACAGGCAGAAGGAAAGGGTAGAGGTTCTTACTCTCCGCCCCCAGGCCCTGAAACAACCCAAACACATGTCAAAATGATGAAGTTTAGACAAAGCACGACATGACAACAAAAGTCAACTTGAAACCATCTGAAGATTTACAGCGCAGTCCCTTGTAATGTATTGATTTTGTACCCCCTGATTGTCAGATGATAATAATTTAATAATAATGACTTTACAGGCCTGTCAAATCTCTCAAAGTGCTACACTGAAGTCAGTATTCATTCACTTCACACTTGATTTGCTCCCTCACTGATGGAAGCAGTCTAATTCTTTTGCTCCCCATAATGACCAATCGTAATTTCAGGTTACATCCAAAACCAAACAGACTAACTGGTATGACAAACTTTCACACCGAGGGAGCAGACTTCATTGAGTAGAAGTGAACGTCATCTAATCTCCGGCCTTATTGTCTCTCCCTTTTCTTTTTAAAACACAAAAGGAAAAAAAATGGCTAATTAGATTATGAATTACTCGAGTAAATGAAACACATATTGGCTTGGGAAATTCCATCTTTAAATGTCCAGTCAGTACAGTCATTAGTATTTGAAAGAACACACATTTTTAAAACCATTTTGTGAAATAGTAGATATAATTCTGGCTTTCCACCTCTTTAAAAGAAAGTGTTGTTGTGGTAAGCCTTGGAGAAACTGATCCCCCAAAGTGACTTTATCGCACAGATCTGCAGAATTTACAGGATTACATTAAATACTTAAAATTGACCTGCATATTGCTACTGCCAATATTTATCAGAAGGGTCATTCTTCATATTCTAATTGGCTTCGTAATTAATTTTCACAGGGTACCCTCTAAAGAGTAAGTGAACAATTGCACAGGCCACAAGGAAGTGTCTTGAAAGCTCAGATAAGAAGTTAAACATGCCACTGTCCTTGGCACACATACTTATGACAAGTGTTAGGTTATGGCCCTGACGGCTACTCTGTGCTATGTTCTCTTTGACACTTCAGTTCTATTTGTTTTTCACATGCCCCCAACCTACATTCAGACAATTATGGTACAAGAAAAAAACATAAAAATAACATTAGTCTGAGCACCAATCCATCTTTTTCCTGTCCTATACCAATCTCAATATTAAGCTTTGAATCAGTGCCGATACCAGATATAAACCGATACAGGTGAAGGGACATGCAATTTGGGAAAATGTTTTATTCAATTGTTTAATTGATTTCTGTAAAAAACAACAATGTATGAGTAAAAGTTAAAACTATGAAAGGCCCAATCAGCTGAACCGATTATAGTGGAAAGCTAGATCCTGTCAGACCTCTGAAGATAAGCAGGACAGAGCCTGGTTAGTACTGTGATGGGAGACCTCCGGGAACACCAGGTGCCACAGTGGGGCGGCTGCGGCTCTAAAGTGTCAAATTGTTGTTGTGTACTTAAGCAAGACACTTCACCCATATTGACTAGAATGAGTGGTGTGTGCACTATTGCTGAATGATTGACATGTATAAGTAGCCAATAAAAAGAGCTTTCTATTGATGGGTGGGACTTAGAGGAACTGCTTTTAATTTTCACAGCAAAAGCGTGCGTAAAGACGCTGTTTCATTGCTGCACATATTTTAGATGCATTTACACTACTAAAAAATTAATTTGGAAAAAATGTAACAAAACAAAAAAATCACACGGATTAGTAACTTATAACTACTGTGAGATTTAATAACACTTTGAAGCAACTTTTGTTAAAGTTAAACCTATCATTCTATCAATGTGCAGAAGCCAGTACTTTTCCCTTGTTTTGTCTATCTGAAGGCCAAGCTACATGGCACTGTGGAAGCTGCTGATTGGAGGACTCCAGGCCTCCGCTCTGTATAATACACTTGCATTCTGTGTTCGTGTTGTTCGTGCTGTCTCTACCATCGACAATAAAACATGTCTTCTGTCTGAATTTAAGACACGATCCCAGACTTTGTCATCTTCTTCACTACCAAAACTGAAAAATATGCTTTTTATGATGGTGAAATGTTGGTGAAAAGTGTGTCAGTTTGACACACTTTGTGCCAAGTGGTTCCTAATGGCACTACTTGATAAAAAAGAGAAACTGCATAAAAACTATAAAACTTAGAAGTCTGAAACTCAAGAAAAGTGTTGTCAAAAACACAATGAACAAATTGGCTTTGAATGTTTTCTTCTTCCAATGAAGTAGGCTTGTTAGGGCATTTATACATTGAATATTTTAGGCGAGGCTAAAAAAAAAAACCTTCAAAAGGATGCAGAGTGAAATAGGAATGACATATTATTTTAGTATATATTTACATAAACTAGAAGGGCCTAGCTTTAAAATGATGCATCACACAAGCATGTGAGATGTAAGATACGTTTTAAATAAGCAAAGACATTTGGGTATGCCAAACTTTTGTGCACGAGCCAAAACAGATATAGGAGTTTAAAGATCCTGGAGCCAATCAAGTAATTTGTTCTTGTTCTGTTTCAAAGATTTACTTAAAAAAAACATCTGCTGATAAAATCTGGCAATGATAAGTATTACAAATGCAAATGTGTGTCATTTGTAGGTCATATAAGAGGTATAATGTCGATAACAGTGTTGTATATGTAAATGTTGACCTTCAGTACCTTAACCAGATGAATGAGGGTGGTGAGGATGGCACATCGAAGCATGTTGTGTTCTTCGGACTGTTTCCACAGCAGAGGCAAGTACTGCACTAGACAGCCAACATACGGTCTGATCTGGGGAATGTCATGCACATTATTTTAACAAATACTTTTTTTTTTTAAACATGAAAAGTCCATCATTGCTTTGTCAATAAACCCAAACCCCATGTCCTGGTCCTGCTTGTCATTTGAAAAACGAGTTATTTCTAGTTATTTTTTATCAAGCACAATTTCTCAGCACTTTCGACGGATGTGCTATGGGATTGTCACTTCCAGAAGCGAAACAAGAATCAATTTGAACAGTAAGGAAACAGTAAGGTTAAACTCTAGACTTACACAGGAAAAATCCCTGTGCCTATAGCAGGGATAGCCAGCAGCTAAAGCTTTACATGAAAACTGTTCTAATCCATAAAAAATTCAGATGCTAGAATAAGTTCTTGCCTGTGCAGTACTTATTTGTTTCAAGGCCTCTCTGTGCCCTGTAGCCATGCTATGACTGCCACACACCCCACTCTGGGATTTTTTCTACTCAATTACACCTACACAAGAGCTGTAAAAAGAAAATGAAAAAGACAGAACATGATGATGACACCGTCCCACTAACCTTGCTGTGATGACATTTCAGAGAGTGACAGGAGTGAAATAAAAAGCTCATCTTATCTGTCATGAAGTTGCATTAATGATCGCTGCCTCCTCAACTCTGGGGCTGTAAATCCCTCAAGACCCAAGAGTACAGAATATCTAATAGGCCATTTTACTTCCTGACAGGGTTGAACGGAGGCTCTTGGCAAGGATGAGAAGTATTTGGGTGCTCTTATAGTTCAGGTGCTCAGAATGGCTGTGAATGCCGAGCTCAGAGGGTCAAGAGGAAGGTTGTTTTTAAGTGGGTTTAATTGAAGAAGTGCAGTCGCAAAAGGAAAGAAATAGGAGCAGTACCAACTCTAAAAATGGAACAGGCGTTAAGGCACAGATAATTTCAAGTCAGGATAAGGCAAATCCAATAATCGTTTGTTCGTAAAGAAAAAAAGTTATTTCATCTAGAGAAGGCTGCGCTTGTTGGAGTCAGAAATGCAATTATGTTTCAAGCTGCTCGCCTCTTGCATAGCTTGAGTTGAAAGATTTCTCTGACCTGGTTTTTCACAGAGACACAGAAATAAAGCCGTACTTGGATATAGACTCTTTCGATGACACACGAGATGACATGGAGGACTTGCATTTTGGTGTCACACTCAGTCACCTGCTGCAAAAGCTGAAAGAGCAGCCCGAAAATGGACTCAAGGTACTGCAAACAACAAAGAGCAAAACGTTACTTGTTTAAAAGGGGGTATGAAACTTTTCTGAAGCGGTCCACCCATATCCTTATATATATATAATATATATACAGTGCCTTGCGAAAGTATTCCTTTCGCCACATTTCAGGCTTCAAACAAAGATATAAAAAATATTTTTTTTGTCAAGAATCAACAGGTGGGACACAATCGTGAAGTGGAACAAAATTTATTTGATAATTTAAACTTTTTTAACAAATAAAAAACTGAAAAGTGGGGCGTGCAATATTATTCGGCCCCCTTGCGCTAATACTTTGTAGCGCCACCTTTTGCTGCAATTACAGCTGCAAGTCGCTTGGGGTATGTCTCTATCAGTTTTGCACATCGAGAGACTGGAATTCTTTCCCATTCTTCCTTGCAAAACAGCTCGAGCACAGTGAGGTTGGATGGAGAGCGTTTTTGAACAGCAGTCTTCAGCTCTTTCCACAGATTCTCGATTGGATTCAGGTCTGGACTTTGACTTGGCCATTCTAACACCTGGATACGTCTATTTGTGAACCATTCCATTGTAGATTTGGCTTTATGTTTTGGATCATTGTCCTGTTGGAAGATAAATCTCTGTCCCAGTCTCAGGTCTTTTGCAGACTCCAACAGGTTTTCTTCCAGAATGGTCCTGTATTTGGCTCCATCCATCTTCCCATCAATTTTAGCCATCTTCCCTGTCCCTGCTGAAGAAAAGCAGGCCCAAACCATGATGCTGCCACCACCATGTTTGACAGTGGGCATGGTGTGTTCAGGGTGATGAGCTGTGTTGCTTTTACGCCAAACATATCGTTTTGCATTGTGGCCAAAAAGTTCGATTTTGGATTCATCTGACCAGAGCACCTTCTTCCACATGTTTGGTGTGTCTCCCAGGTGGCTTGTGGCGAACTTTAAACAAGACTTTTTATGGACATCTTTGAGAAATGGCTTTCTTCTTTCCACTCTTCCATAAAGACCAGATTTGTGCAGTGCACGACTGATTGTTGTCCTATGGACAGACTCTCCCACCTCAGCTGTAGTTATCTGCAGTTCATCCAGAGTGATCATGGACCTCTTGGCTGCATCTCTGATCAGTCTTCTCCTTGTTTGAGATGAGAGTTTTGAGGGACGCCGGGTCTTGGTAGATTTGCAGTGGTCTGATACTCCTTCCATTTCAATATAATTGCTTGCACAGTGCTCCTTGAGATGTTTAAAGCTTGGGAAATCTTTTTGTATCCAAATCCGGCTTTAAACTTCTCCACAACAGTATCTCGGACCTGCCTGGTGTGTTCCTTTGTCTTCATGGTTCTCTCTGCGCTTTAAACAGAACCCTGAGACTATCAAAGAGCAGGTGCATTTATACGGAGCATACACACAACATTGGATCATTCAAAGATCCTCACTGAACTTCTGGAGTGAGTTTGCTGCACTGAAAGTAAAGGGGCCGAATAGTATTGCACGCCCCACTTTTCAGTTTATTTGTTAAAAAAGTTTAAATTATCCAATAAATTTTGTTCCACTTCACGATTGTGTCCCACTTGTTGATTCATGACAAAAGATTAAAAATGTATATCTTTATGTTTGAAGCCTGAAATGTGGCGAAATGTTGAAAGGTTCAGAATACTTTTGCAAGGTACTGTATATATATATATATATATATATATATATATATATATATATATATATATATATATATATATATATATATATATATATACTGTAGACAATGCTAACCCCCTAGCTCTATGAGGTCTAATAGGGAAGTGCTCAGGGGTAGAGGTTTTGCTCCAACACAGGCCATGTACACTCTGTAACACATCTGTGGTTTAATGCGCTCTATGTTCCTGGTGCTTTGATCTTGATAATGTGATTCAGTGATGAAACCTAAAAACTGACCAACCAGGTGTCTCTAGTTCCTGAATTCTTGATTGGCCCTTTGGGTTGCTAGGTCGTTGCTACCTACAGCTCCACATTTCCACTCTCAGCTCTTTCTTTCACAAAAAGGAAATCAATAAAAGGTATCAGCACAAATCCCAGTCTATATATTATTGCCAATAGAAAATTGGGCTATGGACTGTAAGAAGAGGCAAATATATATTGTATTATTATTATGTATCTACTTATTATTCTGCCCTATATGTACAGTAGAACTCTGCACTACATAGAGGTATATATATATTTTTTTTTTGAAAGACAGCTAATCTAAGAAACATAGCTACAACTTATTTTGTATATTTTGTGTGCTCCCTGTGTGCTCTTATTGCCCTGTATGTGCGCTGGAACATTGAAATTTCCCCATTGTGGGACGAATAAAGGACTTCTAATCTTTTATACAAAATACTTACTGGGAGGAATTGCTCTGTTCGAAACTCAAAGTCATCAACAGGTTCCGGATGTTAAGGATGAAAAACAAATAAACAAAGACCGTAATAACATGAATTATGTGGTAATGTGATTTCAGAAGGATATTGAGCTTCAGAGTCGTGGCAGTCTCAATGCGCACCTGTGGGCATGAGAAGGAATATTAATAGAGAAATGCAAAATGAAACAAAAGAACTATATTACAGTACCACAGTTAGGCTCAGGGCCAATCAATCTGATGTGAGTGTAATGAATGTGAGAACTTCAAATGAAGTTAAAAATAACTGAGGACAGAGTGGATACTGCTGCTGAAGTATTCACACAAGTCTTCTTCGACTGCAGAGGTGCAAAGAAACGCATCAAAGAGCAGGTGGTGAAGAGTAGCCACTGTAAGACTTGTTAAGAAGGCAAGGCAAGGCAAGTTTATTCAAATAGCACAATTCATACACAAGGCAATTCAAAGTGCTGAACAAAATAAGAAAGCATTTAAATCATAAATAATCACAGAACAATAAAAATAAAGATAAAAATATAAAATCCCTCAGTTGTATGCACAGCCAAACAGAACTGTTTTTAACCTGGTTTTAAACATGAGACAGAGAAAGCCTGTCTCACATATTCAGGAAGACTGTTCCAGATTTTAGCAGCATGAATCTGAAAAGCAGCCTCCCCATGTTTAGTTCTGACTCTGGGCACTAACAGGAGTCCAGTCCCTGTGCTCCTCAGAGTCCGGGCTGGTTCATATGGGACTAACATGTCACTAATATATTTTGGAGCGAGGCCATGGAGAGACTTGTACACAAGTAGAGCTGTTTTAAAGTCTATTCTCTGAGCCACAGGAAGCCAGTGCAGAGACCTGAGAACTGGACTAATGTGATCGTACTTCCTGGTTCTAGTCAGGACTCGAGCTGCTGCATTCTGAATGAAGACATCAGTTTTGTGGTGATTAACTGAACAATAATGTTTCTCGTAACAATGTTTACATAACATTTTGTATTCCACATTCATATTTGCTGAGATTATTCGCTTATAATATTGTTTGACAAAGGAAACTAATCAAACACAATCAAGCAAACAATGCATAATTAATCCTTTTGCAAAGATGCGAGAATAGTCCAAGATGGGAGAATAATCCAAGGCGTGTGCTCAAAAAGAAATGAAATGTATGTCAGTGAACACCGTGGTCTAACCTGGTTTGCATTACTGACGTTGTAAAAAGATATTAAAAATTCACTTACTCCTAATATTTTCCATTTATTTATGATATCCTTTTAACCCAGAGGTGAAGGCGAGATAGCAGTGTGTCTGATAAAATAATGTACTAGAAAGAAATCGTTAAAAATTGTGATTAAAAATGACCTGGAGCAATGTAAGCTGGACCTAAGGCTAGATAATAAGGCACAGTGGCAGCGTGGGTAGTAGGGGTGGGCGAAAGGGCCTAAAATTTATATTGCGGTATAATTTGGGACACAGACAGTAAATAGTATATATGTATTGCGGTATAATTTGGTGTTTGAATTTCAAAATAGGACTAGCAGGCTCTTGCATAAAAAAGTCAAGATTGTTACTTATTTAACATTTCAATTTTAGAGCTGGATAATGTTTATTTGATACTTTTAGCATTTCCTTGACATTTAGTGTGTGACCTAGAGAGGGCACCATAAAACCACCCATTTGTAAGTTCCATTGTTGCAATAAACAATTGTAATAATTTATCCCCTTATCGTACATTCATATATACATACATACATAGTCAGGTCTCATTGGAAGTTTGTTTAGACAAAACGCATTAACAGAGTTTAAAGCACAATGGAAACTTGATATTTCAAGTTGAAAGGTATTTCAAGATGAAATATCAATATTTCATTTGATATTTTTGAAAGATCAAGGCTCTGCTCACAGTCAGAGAGCAGCCGTCCTCCTGTGGACTCACCACCTGCAGAGGATCAGTGAGGGGCTGGTGCTATGAGACTTGGGTGGCATCTCTGACTGCCACCCCCCTGACCCAGAAATGGATTAAAGGGTAGAAAATGGATGGATGGATGGATGGAAACTTGATATTTGCAGGAAACCTAAGTTAAGACATTATATTTTATTTAAACAGGAGTTTTAAACAGAACTGTACATCCAGTCAAATGTACCTAGAAGGCAGCGCTCTCTGTTAGCCGAGCTGAGGACCGGCACTTTGCCTCTAGCAGTGGAGGTGGGGCGCTTTAAAGCGGTCCCTGAAGAGGCCCGTCTCTGTACAGTGTGTGACCTGGGGGTGGTGGAGGATGAGCCTCATTCTGTTTTGTATTGTCCACTTTACTTTGAGCTTCGAAACATTTTATTTGAAAAAGTAAATGCTTCTAACCCAGAGGTCTTTTGGTGGCAGGAGGGAGAAATTATGAACTGGATGTACTGCCATGAAGTTTTTGCCTTTGCTTCTTTTGTTGCTAAAGCCTGAGAGAGGAGACATCAGATTCTGTACCCTGTATATTGCACTAAATTGTAAATTGTTTTATGTTTTTCATGTCTGTATATGGTCTGTAGCCATGTTTTTCAGTGTCATATAAGCCCATGTGGGCTGGGCACTTTTGTGCATGACACTTAAATAAATAAACTCAAACAAACTCAAACAAACTCAAACAAACTCAAACTCATTGGATACATTTATTTATTAGTTAAACAAGTAAAGGACAGTGAATCTAATCTGTCTATGTGTCTGCCTCATTTCCGTGTGCCTTTGAACGCATCTGGGCGCTAGCTGCGCGGCTACTAAAAGTATTTTTTTGTCAGAGCTTTTTTTCCCCCATTTCTCGTAATAAACCTTGATACGGTGCCTTGAGAAAGTATTCGGCCCCCTTGAACCTTTCAACATTTCGCCACATTTCAGGCTTCAAACATAAAGATATAACAATTAAATTTTTTGTCATGAATCAACAACAAGTGGGACACAATCGTGAAGTGGAACGAAATTTATTGGATAATTTAAACTTTTTTAACAAATAAAAAACTGAAAAGTGGGGCGTGCAATATTATCCGGCCCCTTACGCTAATACTTTGTAGCGCCACCTTTTGCTGCAATTACAGCTGCAAGTCACTTGGGGTATGTCTCTATCAGTTTTGCACATGGAGAGACTGGAATTCTTGCCCATTCTTCCTTGCAAAACAGCTCGAGCTCAGTGAGGTTGGATGGAGAGCGTTTGTGAACAGCAGTCTTCAGCTCTTTCCACAGATTCTCGATTGGATTCAGGTCTGGACTTTGACTTGGCCATTCTAACACCTGGATACGTCTATTTGTGAACCATTCCATTGTAGATTTGGCTTTATGTTTTGGATCATTGTCCTGTTGGAAGATAAATCTCTGTCCCAGTCTCAGGTCTTTTGCAGACTCCAACAGGTTTTCTTCCAGAATGGTCCTGTATTTGGCTCCATCCATCTTCCCATCAATTTTAGCCATCTTCCCTGTCCCTGCTGAAGAAAAGCAGGCCCAAACCATGATGCTGCCACCACCATGTTTGACAGTGGGGATGGTGTGTTCAGGGTGATGAGCTGTGTTGCTTTTACGCCAAACATATCGTTTTGCATTGTGGCCAAAAAGTTCGATTTTGGTTTCATCTGACCAGAGCACCTTCTTCCACGTTTGGTGTGTCTCCCAGGTGGCTTGTGGTAAACTTTAAACGAGACTTTTTATGGATATCTTTGAGAAATGGCTTTCTTCTTGCCACTCTTCCATAAAGACCAGATTTGTGCAGTGCACGACTGATTGTTGTCCTATGGACAGACTCTCCCACCTCAGCTGTAGTTATCTGCAGTTCATCCAGAGTGATCATGGGCCTCTTGGCTGCATCTCTGATCAGTCTTCTCCTTGTTTGAGATGAAAGTTTGGAGGGACGACCGGGTCTTGGTAGATTTGCAGTGGTCTGATACTCCTTCCATTTCAATATAATTGCTTGCACAGTGCTCCTTGAGATGTTTAAAGCTTGGGAAATCTTTTTGTGTCCAAATCCGGCTTTAAACTTCTCCACAACAGTATCTCGGACCTGCCTGGTGTGTTCCTTTGTCTTCATGGTTCTCTCTGCGCTTTAAACAGAATCCTGAGACTATCAAAGAGCAGGTGCATTTATACGGAGACTTGATTACACACATGTGCATTCTATTTATCATCATCAGTCATTTAGGACAACATTGGATCATTCAAAGATCCTCACTGAACTTCTGGAGTGAGTTTGCTGCACTGAAAGTAAAGGGGCCGAATAATATCGCACGCCCCACTTTTCAGTTTTTTATTTGTTAAAAAAGTTTAAATTATCCAATAATATTCGTTCCACTTCACGATTGTGTCACACTTGTTGTTGATTCATAAAAAAAAAAAATTTTATATCTTTATGTTTGAAGCCTGAAATGTGGCGAAATGTTGAAAGGTTCAAGAAGGCACTGTACATATGAGCACAAATCAATAATATAATCTGTATATAACAACACAAACTGTTTATATGTTTATTTACACTTTTTGACATGCACAAACTGAACTTCTGGACGAATCCAGCAGCCACACTCCACGTGGTTGCTGCCGGTCCCAGCAGCCTACGCGTGTTGCAATTTGATTACGTAATATCTCTGTGCAAATGTATGCAAATGATTCCGTAATGTATGTTCATGGCAGCAGTGTTTCCCAAGTGGCTGAAAAGCTCACCCAGGCCATGGTTCACATCACAGCATGGCTGGAGCACTGCTGCCTACAGTTAAAGACATCTAAAACTGTATCAATGCTTTTCTCAAAAAAACATATTCATGTTTCAGGTAAAAGACTGCAGAACGTATCCCAGTACACATATCTTGGTGTAATTCTGGACTCAACTCTGTCATTCAAACCTCATGTTAAAATGGTCAGTAATCGCATTAAGTTCACCTTCAGCAACTTCAGACACATCCGGCACCAAATGTCAATACAAGCAGCACAAATGTACATGCACTCAATGATCATTTCACATCTAACCTACTGTTTAACTGTCTGGTCACATGCTAATGTCACGACTCTCAAACCCATCCTGTCCCTCTACAAACGCACCATAAAAACTCTGGACCGCAAACCACTCTCACATCATCACTGTCCACTATTACAATCGCATCATTTACTCAGTTGGGAAAACATGGTCAAATACTCACATCTCTGCCTCACCTATAAAATAATACATGGTTTGTCATCAGCCCCACTCGCACAGTTCCTTCACATCAGTACAGCAGAACTCAGGAGAACCAGAGCAGCAGCAAAAGGCGACTGCATCATCCCTCTGAGAAAAAGCCTCTTTTGTCAATCCACATTTTCTGTCAAAGCTGCCCATAAATGGAATCGCACCTCCACAACAATTAGAAACATCAACACATATAACTCATTCAAAATACAGGTAAAAAAAATGGTTCATAGACAATCAAAGCGGTCAGCACTGACTCTCCACCTCTCGCTGCCCCCTGCTGGCCTCTTGTTCTTTGTCTGTGAGTCTGACTTGTCTTTATTGTTGTTGAGTTTGTAACAGTTGTGTGTTTATGTCTATCATGTTTGATTTGTGTTATTGAGGGTATTGTTTGTAGATATTTTACTGTGTTGTGTTTTATCTGATTGTGTTATGCCATCCATCCATTTTCTTCCCCTTAATCCATTTCTGGGTCGGGGGGGTGGCAGTCGGAGCTGCACCCAGTACACTTAGCACCAGCCCCTCACTGATCCTCCTGCAGGTGGTAAGTCCACAGGAGCTTTTCAGTGGGGGCTTCAGGCAAAGTGGGGTTAAGTGTCTTGCCCAAGGACACAACGACAGCAAGGTACTGTTTTCATCAAGTGTGGTTTGCCTTTTCCCAGTACAGTCTAATGCTGTACTGTAGTGGACCCTCCGACTGTGTGCCTTTAAAGCAGAGATGAAACTGCATTAATTATATCATGAAAAGCTAAATGTTGAAAATCCACAGCCACTGCTTCAGCACTAATGAGCAAAAGAACAGTTGAGAATCCAGTGATAAAATATTTAGATATATGGCTGCAACAATGCATTTACTCCGCATTAATATTTAGAGTACACCGTTATTCCCAGAGGCTACCCGTGTCAAGGCAGTTGAAAAGAAAAAGGAAGACAAATATAAAGAAACATAATTTAAGACTTTTATAGTAAAAGAAATGTATGTATATTATTAGGTATATTTTACAGGTAAAGAATCCATCCAACTATGAGTCTCACAGAGGTAAAAGCCTGAACTGATTATGAGAAGAGTCTTAACAAGCTCAGACATATATACGACAACAATATTGTTTTAAAAGGTACTCTGTCATTTTTACAGTTACTCCAAATGGAAAAAAAATGTAACCAATAACAACATGTTTTTGAATTGTTGTCAAATTGGAATTGGACCAATAAATGCCCATGAGAGCTGAGGACTCTCTGTGTCAATGCGCCATCTTGAAATACTTTGGTTGAAAAGGGACAAAAGGATGCGAGAATCGCATTTTCATTTCACAGGTGCTAGCTACTGATATTGTTGCTTCCACCGTGTGAAAAAAGGATCATGGAGGACCACAGTTGTGTAAAAGAACAACCCCAACAAGAATATTTTTTTCTAAAATTATGCAAAAATCTAGAAACCTAGTTACAACTAGAAATCTAGTTGTAGCAGAAAAATGTCAACATCGCAAACCACATTCACCAATGGTAGTTTTTGTCCATTCCTTGCTCAAAGTTCTCTGAGAATGTTCTGGAATAACTTTTAAGCTAAGACTCTTAGCTAGGAGTTTTAAGGTCCGGAGCTCTCTGAGAGGACACTCAGAATCTTTAGGTAAACGGCCCCTGGTCTTCAGGCTATAGGGGAGTCTACATTAATACTATACAAAAACTATACTTTAAAACATGCATACATATAGCAATAAAAAAACACATTCAATGCCACACACTATTTACAAGGGCACAATTGTGGTTAACTTTCAGGCAATGCAACAATGAACAGCAAAAATCTTGAATAGATAAAGGGCATAGGATTCAAGGTACGAGAAAATTGTAGTGTTGGCTCTGTGAAGAAAATTGGAAGGATAATTGCAGCAATATTGTGCATAGTTAGCCAGTGAAATGTGTTTGTGAAGCAGGCTGTGCATATTTATTACCACTTTTAGTCAAAACAACTGCAGTGTTTTTCTGAGGAAGTTTAGTCAATAAACATAAAAGCCTTTGGAGTGCCAGTGCTGAAGACGGCTTACCACAAGGTCAGGGTCCTGCATCAGCGTCAGGATGACTTGATACAACAACGGTCGAAGGTCCGGTTTGAACTTGACCGAGATCCACTGTCCGATCAACCAAATGACACGCCGGCGGATCAGCTTGTACCTGTGCAAAAAGAAAAACATTCTTACAGATGCACTGCAAAGATTTCGCTACCCACTTGCTATGGAGAAGATATTTTTTTAGCTAGGAATTAAATTCTGTTCAGGCCGGACCAAGTGTAGAACAGATACAAAAATGAAAATATGGTTGTTAAGGCACTGTTCATCAACCAGTGCCGTGGCACGTTGGCGTGCCTTGAGATGGTGTTTGATGTGTCTTCGGTAATATTCCAATATCACCTAGGTCAGGCATGTCAAAGTCAAATACATCAGAGGGCCAAAAAAAAATGTTTGCTACGCGCCGAGGGCCGGACTGGTTCAATGTTTCTCAACATCCAGAGGCAGTGTTGGTGACACCTGTTGGCTTGATAAAATATGCTCTAAAGCCAATCCTCATACTGTACTTATTAGATGTAATAGACATCTGAGAACATGAAAATAGTAAAAAAAAAAAAGCTCAAACTTGGTGAAATGTAAAAGAGCAGTCTGGACCTCTTTTCGGGGCGTTTTTTGATTAAATCTGCAGAATGGATTATACTTTGGGAAATACAAGTGGATATTCTTCTTCAATGAACAGTTACGGAGAGAAAGACTAAGCAAGGATGGGGAAAGTCTAATTTGTTGGAGCAGCAGAAGACGAAAGGTAAAAAACAAATACAGACGTGATTTATTTTGTGCCCATATTATGCGTTATATCTTTTTAATGCAAAGTCTGATATCGTTTACACTTACATATAAATATAGCTGAGAAAATAAGCTTTAAAATGATATATAGCTTGTGGCTTACGAAGTTCAAAATACATCTGCTATTGCCAACAGATAGCTGGCCCTCGCTAGCTATCTGTTGGCAATAAGGGGTCAATACATTGCCTCAATGGCAGGCAATGTCCCGGGGGCCATAGATAATTCATTCGCGGGCCGGATTTGGCCCGCGGGCCTTGACTTTGACACATGTGACCTAGGTGGTCAAAATAGCTTAGATTTTCTAAATAAAACACTTTGATGAGAATGACTTTGCATGGTTAATAAAGGCAGCAGTTTTATGTTTGTATCCGTTTCAATAAGTTTTGTGCCAAGGCTCAAGAAGGCTGGGGAACAGTAAGGAATATCATCATGAGGATGGACAGAGGCTGTCCAAGTAAGAACTTTAACAATGCCCTGTCCTAGCAACTGGGAATTGTGTTGCCAACCAGTCATTTAACGTGATTACAAGTCATATTCAAGTTCTTTTATTATAGATGACATAATATTCACACATAAGTATCTAGGGAGAATAAGTACGCAGCAGCACGAGCCATGGGCCAAGATGTAGCCATTCAGAACAAAAGATCGCATATGACTCATCTACAATGAAGCAGCTTCCTTTAGACAACAAGCTGTGGTCTGTCCTCTGGGAGAGCCCATGACAGCAGAGACACTTAGTTGGCCACGTCTGAAATACCCAATTCTCCATTGTACATCCTAATGATGACGACAAAATCAAGGATTTCTATGAATGCGTGAGAGAAAAAGTATTGTTGTGAGAACAAATTATATAATGAATCAATTCACAGTTACAAAATCTACAGAACAAACCTAAAACAACTCAAACATAGGTAAAGCAGAGATTTAAGATTTAGAGAGTAGTTGACATGTTTTATATTGAAAATACAAGAACTTTCATAAATTGAGTTGACCAATAGTTCAGACATAGAGGAGTATAATCTCACACGCGCACAGTTCCAAGCCCTGGAATAATACAAAACACAGCATCACAAGAGCAACATTGATCCTGCCAGTATGTGCAGCTCCTGGAGGCCATTAGAACGTGTCAGAGTGACTGATCCAAGGCAGCTGTGAGCGTTTCTTCTCTGCAGATCATACAAGACTTCACAGGTATGACATGTGCTCAGCCTGACACAAGCAAAGACATCAAGCACACGGGGGCGGAAGAACCGAACTACAGAGCAGGCAGCAGTCAAAGCCACTACTTCATTGTTAATATGGGGCCAATTTATGATGCAACGAGCTATACCTTTTTTGGCTGCAATGCCCTAAGAATAAACCGACTAATTATTAAGATATAAGAACGTTCTGAGCACACAAGAAATCAAAACGGCTGCATTAAAAACATATTTAAAATAACCTTGATGTGTTCTTACTGCATTTAATTGTATTCTGGAACCAAAGAGGATCAAGGATTAAGCTATCTATGTTACTTATTAGATGTTAGAAATAAAAACAATGAAAGTTTGGTTGAGATTTGGATCATGGGTGTTATGCAACCAATCAAATACCTAAATACAATCTAAGGTTTTATACTTTATAAGTAAGTAAGTCATGTTTATTTATATACTGCCTTTCACAGACCAGAGTCACAAAGCGGTTTACAATTGTTATTTTTTGGGCATTTGTCTCTCACTCCACACAGAGATGGGAGCGGGGTCGCCAGTACAGGAGGCGCATGCCAGACCTATTGTACATATTTTTAGTGGTAGGGGAAACCGGAGTACCCGGAAGAAACCTACGCAGACACGGGGAGAACATGCAAACTCCACTCAGATGCAACTAAAATGCCAAAATGTGCCAGTGCAGCTACAAGTGATGAAGGATAGGTGTACCGGCCATAATTGTTGAAGCTTTTATTATTATGTCTAGGGAGGATGCATCAATCTTTTATTAAGTGCAGATATAGTTTCTATTTAACAAAAGTGGCGCAACAGTTGTTCTGTTGGGAGGAAAGTATCTAAGTCCTAGCCCCAAGTACCTTGAAATACCCCCAACAATCTGTAACCCTAAAAACGATTTCGGCCAAAAACCTACTCCACAGCAATACGTGAAAATAGTAGATCACAGGCCACAGATGCAAAGACACAAAATCTCCAAACCAAAAAGGATGCATTAAGGATCACAGGTACGGGAATCGAATCCTTAAAGCATGCTTTTTGCTTTGGCACTACAGTGTGAGAGCCACGCTGTGGGCATCCTATATTAGTATTCACTTTGTAGTTGAGTTGTCAAGGTTATACAGTATATATATTTAATGTAGTATTCTTTGTTGTACTGACCTGTGAGTGTATGCCCATGCATGTTTTTTAATTATAAAGCAGTAAATCAAGGATAAGGCTTCGACAGACGACTTGCTCAGTGAATGTCTCAAACCTTGGGGAAATAGGAGTGTGCTAGAGGGATGGCAGACATTAAGAAAGAGCTGAAAGAAGACACAAAGGCACTCATCATTTCAGTACAGGAGCGAGCCTTGGGCACAAGAGCAATAGAGGCTTAAATCTACCACACCAGACAACACCCTGGAATGTCCTAAGAGGCCCCTAAGACAATTCAGGACACAACTGCAGGGTTCTAGTTAAGTTTAAAAGCTTTATAGTAAAAAAAAGAAGAGACTAAACAAAAGCTGTTAATTTAAGCAATGCAAGGTCATTACAGCAGCACTATAGGCTTGAAAATAAGAAACTAAAAGTTAAATTAGGAGAGAGAAAACAGGAGTCGAGGTAACTTAAGGACTCGAGAATAAATGTGCTGCAGCGAGGGCTGTCTCTCTCTCACATGCATGCACACGGACACACAAACACACACACGGACACACACAGACACAGTGACACCTGCAGCCCCCACTCATACGCCAGTGCTGACCCCTGCAGCAGACCTTGTGCACACTGACCTCTTTGTTTTTAACACACTCTGTTCTCTGTACGCAGGGAACTTCTTTGATCTCCACCCTCAAGGATGTCACTCACTTTTAGCCAACTTTTTATCAATTTTTTATGAATATGCTCATGATGCTGGTTTCAGAAATGCTCAGTCACATTAGGGAAACTGGGTGTGAATGAGTGAGGGGGAAAACTACAAAGACGTATGACCGAGCTGCTTCAACATTAGTGACACAACATTTTAATATGTATATGAAAACAATTGCATGGATATATTTGTATTAGATTTATCCCTTGCAAAGAAAATATAGCATTAGTCGTTTTAGAAATCATAAATATATATTATGCAATCATACACATGGCATCATCTTCCTACACTTGGCTCTTTGATCATTTCTGACTGTGCAGTTTGCAATAATTGATAGCTGAACTGAGGTTAATAGTCAATTAGTTTGGCTTGCGTGGCAAAGATGTGGAAACGTTAAGTACACCCATTACCAGCCACCACTAATGACAATACTGCTGACAGATAATTTGTTGCCAAGTTCACTTCACACGCTGTAACACTTCTGCGTCATTTTGGCATTGACGATTGTGACCATCACTTTAGAGACATTTTATAAACCAGTGTTCAAACAAAACCGCAGCAATAAACCAGGACTTGTTTGTAACGGATGTGGATGTTTAGGAATTAAAAACTACAGTGCCTTGCGAAAGTATTCGGCCCCCTTGAACCTTTCAACATTTCCCCACATTTCAGGCTTCAAACATAAAGATATAAAATTTATATTTTTTGTCATGAATCAACAACAAGTGGGACACAATCTTTAAGTGGAACAAAATTTATTGGATAATTTTAACTTTTTTAACAAATAAAAAACTGAAAAGTGGGGTGTGCAATATTATTCGGCCCCTTTACTTTCAGTGCAGCAAACTCACTCCAGAAGTTCAGTGAGGATCTTTGAATGATCCAATGTTGTCCTAAATGACTGATGATGATAAATAGAATGCATCTGTGTGTAATCAAGTCTCCGTATAAATGCACCTGCTCTTTGATAGTCTCAGGGTTCTGTTTAAAGCGCAGAGAGAGACCACGCAACATCCACTGGAATATAGCGGCTCAACACTTCGAGTGTACCCGGATATCAGCGCTGCTTTGGCGAAGAGGCGAGGTGCGTTCAAAGAAGTTAAGAACAAACTATATCGCAACGGAATAAAATTCCGCTTACTACACCCCGCTCACCTGCAGGTGTGGAGCGGAAATAAAAATCACTATTTTGATTCTCCCGAAGAAGCTCAAGTCTTTGCTGACCGAAATAGCTCTAGTCGTGAGTAGAAGGAAAAAAAGAAAAGAAAA